CTTTATTTGTAATTCCATCTATGATAGTGTACTTTGCCTTGAGGCTCACTTTCTTCTGTCCCTTCTCAAATCTCCTCTTTGGTGAGTGTTCTGCTGTTGGGGGGAAGCTGTTCCATGGGTGCGAGGATTTGTGAGGTGGATAACAGGGTTGCAGAGGATACTGGGATGAGGTATATGTAGTATATGTGTGTGTGTGTGTGCTTTATCAAGTTTTGTCTTAGATGAACTAGATATAGATGAAGAGCCCCACCTCGTAGCTATCCTGGCTGGTGCATATATAACTCCCAAGGTTCCAGAACCCCCAAGAGTTCTGGAGCGAGGAACTTATCATCGTGGTGCATGAAGCTGTGAGTATCAGATGCTCCCACCACCATCGCTGGCACAGAATCATTTATGTATTTATATCTCGTTGCATCTTATTACTCCCTTACATTGATGTGGCTCATCTGTGAGTCTCAGCTCCCACCAGTTCCCCTCCCCCCCCCATTGTTTATTATTATGGAGGATATTTGTCTTTGGTGCTTTAAAGCAGTCAACCCAGCCACTTGGGCTGGACGGTAGAGCGACGGTCTTGCTTCATGCATGTCAGCGTTCAATCCCCGACTGTCCACAAGTGGTTAGACACCATTCCTTTCCCTCCGTCCCATCCCAAATCTTTATCCGGACCCAGTGCTATATAGTCGTAATGGCTTGGCGCTTTCCCCTGATAACTTCTTCCTTCTTTAAGTCAGTTCTTATGTTTGTTATTGTTGCATATGGCTGCTGTTATGTCCAGATTGATTGATTTTCTATTTTCTGTTCTCGGCAACTGCGTTTTTAGCATATTTTCCTATCAATCTGGTCGCCTCCTCCCTCTTGTAAACCAACCCGTTCTCGCACTTTCTTACAGTCAATATTGACTTATTAAATACGTGCATATGTGACATACTAATTTATTGTGAATATTTTAGTTTACCTTGAAAAGCTTCATAGAAAACACCGACCTTACCTAACCTTCTTAGTATGTTAAGATAAGCATCTTAGGTAAGGTCGGTGTTTTCTATGAAGCTTTTCAAGGTAAACTAAAATATTCACAATAAATTAGTATGTCACATATGCACGTATTTAATAAGTCAATATTGACTATACGAAAGTGCGAGAACAGGTTGTATAAATATCATTAATTTCCATTTGGAGGGTTAAATTTCAATACCATTTTGATGGCATATTTCTGTATCTGTCAATGTCACGTTGTCCTATTGCTCATTCATCTATAGTCTCTGCCATTATTATCAGCAGTTGAGCATCGTCTGTCTTGCATGACTGTACTTCCTCCGAGGGGGTGGGGGTGGGGGTGGGGGGGTGGGGGTCGTGTTTCATAAATCACAACTTTATTGGTCTGAGTTCTTGCTGGGTTGCTGAGTTCTTGTTCTTGAGCACTCAAGGTGTGCTTGCCTCGGTGTGTTCTCTTAGATGTGCTTGCTGAGTCGTGCTTTTGCCTTCAAACTCTGTCTTCTGGATTGTTTGTTGTTTAATGACAACAAGACTGTTGTCTTGTTTTGCATATTATACTTACATATAAACCTGTGTAGGAGATAGTTTCATCGCCTCCTTGCTTATAACTAATAGTAGTTGTTTATAACTTTTACTGCTATGGAGCTTTTCCTGAAGTCTCTCTTGACTTTTATTTAAAGTTAGTGAATGTCACTAACTCACTTTTCTCACTAACTCACTGTTGTTCCTCACTTTGAACAAAGTTAACTTCTTTGTTTACTCTGTCGGTTCCTCTTAAAATCTATTATCATGTTCCTCCAGTTTGATAAGGTCCAGTTTCCTCAAATCTTGAGCAACCGCTGTTACATATATAACCTTTTTTCTAGTTTTTTTTTTTTTTGTGCCTTTTTCTGGTGGGAGTTTCATGCCGTAGAAAAATACTAAGGAGAGTGTCAAGTAGGTTGTAAATAGCTCTTGGAAGACTCTTTTGTCCAAGAAAACTTTATTGTTCAAGAAGACTCTTTTTGTCAAGAAAGACTATCCAGACGTTGTCCAATTTGGAGTATACAGCCGATGCTGTAATGCTAATAAGAGCCTCTAATTGTTCATTTAATGGCAATTTATACTTGATGGCTTTATTCCTTTTATAATGTAGATTTTTTGTTCATGCTGCTCTGTTGTACGAGTCTTCTCATTCCTATTCCTATTAACATAACTTTGCATGTGCCTGGGAACAGGTTCAATGTTGAGGCCATCTGTGAGGGCCTCATTTGTTCATGTGAGGGCGTCTAGTTCTATTTTGATGTACAATTTCAGTTATTAGGATATTAATGGGTAGCTGCTCTGCATTTTCAACAAATAGGGATATGCAGTAGAGTCAGTTTCTCTTGCCAGGTTGAAGCGGTATATTATAATCAAAATGGGACCTACTGTGTACCCTTGTGGTACTCTGCTCGTTGTTTTTCTTCACTTGGATAGTAACCCCCTCTCTCACTGTGACCCTTTGTTTTCTTCCTGTCAAGTGCTCTATCAATCAACTTTTTAAATCACTCTTCCAAAACCACCAGTCTTAAGAACTAGTACTTAATGTATCAGTATCGAATCCTCTCTGATTCCCTATGCACAAACTATCCAATCAACCCGCTCTCGTGCTTGACTTCCACATTGATGGGAAATTGTAAGAAGTTCATAGCAGGATTATTTTTCTTCTCCGAATCCATTGCTAGTGTTTGAAGAAAGCTTTCAGGTTTTGAACATGTTTTGGGATTCTTCTTAAGATCAGTCTCTCGGATAATTTAAGACGATGCTTGTTATTGATGCTGATCTGAAGTTCAGTGGTTCTCATCTCTCCACTTTCTTGTATACTGGCAACACCTCAGCCCTAGCTTTTGTTCTACTTTTCTTGCAAAGTGTTGAATATTATATTTACGTTTTGTACTCACCTATTTGTGCTTGCGGGGGTTGAGCTTTGGCTCTTAGGTCCCGCCTCTCAACTGTCAATCAACTGGTGTACAGATTCCTTGAGCCTATTGGGATCTATCTTATCTACACTTGAAACTGTGTATGGAGTCAGCCTCCACCACATCACTGCCTAATGCATTACATCTATTAACTACTCTGACACTGAAAACGTTCTTTCTGGTGTCTCTATGGCTCATTTGGGTACTCAGCTTCCACCTGTGTCCCCTTGTTCGTGTACCACCCGTGTTAAATAATCCATTCTTATCTACCCTGTCAATTCACCTGAGAATTTTGTATGTGGTGATCATGTCACCCCGAGCTCTTCTGCCTTCCAGCAACGTGAGGTGCATTTCTAGCAGACTTTTCTCGTAACTCATGCCTCTTAGTTCTGGGACTAGCCTAGTGACATAGCTCTAAACTTTTTCCAGTTTCGTCTTGTGCTGGACAAGGTACCGGCTCCATGCTGGGGCCACATACGCCAGGATTGGCCTTATATACGTGGCATACAAGGTTCTGAAAGATTCCTTACACATGTTTTTGAAGGCTGTTCTGATATTAACCAGCCTCGCATACGCCGCCGATGTTATTCTTTTGATGTGGGCTTCAGGAGACTTCATCTCACATTCGGTATCCCGTGTCTGGCCTTCTGTTTCCTCCGTCTAGTTTCATTACCTTACATTTACTTGGGATGAACTTTAGTAGCCATTTGTTGGACCATTCCTTCAGCTTGTCTAGTTCATCTTGCAGCCTCATACTATCTTTCTATGCCTTAATCCTTCTCATATTTTTTGCATCATCAGGAAACATTGAGAGGAACGGGTCTATTTCCTCTGGGAGATCATTTTCATATATCAGAAACAGTATAGGTCTAAGAACTGATCCCTGTGGGACACTGTGACGCCTGGTCACTCCAAGACCTCACCCCTCACGGTGACTCGCTGTCTTCTGTTGCTTAGGTACTCCCTTATCCAATGGAGTACCTTCCCTTTCACTCCTGCCTGCAGCTCCAGCTTGTGCACTAGTCTCTTACATGGTACTGTGCCAAAGGCTTTTTGGCAATCCAAAAATATGCAGTCTGCTCAGCCCTATCTTGCCTGATATTTGTTGCCTGGTCATAGAATTCAATTAATCCTGTGAGGGATGATTTGCCATCCCTGAACCCATGCTGATGTTGTGTTACAAAGTTCTTCCGATCGCGATGTTCCACTAGCTTTTTTCTAACAATCTCCTTCATCATCTTGCATGATATGTAAGTTCGGAACACTGGCCTGTAGTTCAGTGCCTGAACTACAGATGTGTGTGTGTGTGTGTGTGTGCGCGTGATAACGTATTTCCATCAGATTAAGTGCTACTCCATCATAAGCTTCGCTCCATCGTGATAACAACCACTGTAACTTAATTATGGGGCAGTGCATCATGGTAAGCCTCATTTGGTGGTGCTCCGTCATAAAGGACACCCACTCTCTATAGGTGCCGCTTCCCCTTAAGTGACGCAACGGAGAAATCTTTAGTCAATGAACTATGTTCCCTCTGGATATCCAACCCCGTTCTGGACAGCACTCCGGGAGCAGCGAGTGGCGCAGGTGACAACAGCAGCACGACAGGCAACAGCAGCAGCAGCGACAACAGAAGCAGCCAACGGAGGAGCAAGGATGAGACCGGAGTAACAACGGCATTAGCACAAGCACCGGTGGAAATGATAGCCCTGCGAGCCGGAGTGATGTTACTCACTCACGACCTGAACGCCCAGTCCAGCCCAATAGCTTCTGTCCTCCCTACAGCATCACGCGAGCGCCCCCACTCGCCTTCGTGTGTAACCCACACACAAGGACACGACAGCGGCCAGCCTGACGGCGATATCCTTCCCGGTTTGAGCGCGTGGACCGTGTTTGGTCAGGTCCACTACACCTCGTTTGGTCAGGTCAAGTGGTCCTTCTCCTCCCCCCACGCAAGTGAAGAGGGGGAGCCTCCGCCCCCTCTTCCTCACCTCGGCCCGGGTCTAGCTGCATCTGGCAGCCCCCCAGGAGCAGGGGGTTATAAATGGCAGCGGTGGACTCGTGGCGAGGAAGTCCCCTGCCATCCTTGCCAGCGCAACCACCGTGTCCTCATCCTTGTCTCTGTTGGTGACTCGCATACACACTCTCTAGTGACCAGGTAAGGCGCGATCGCAGTTTCTTAGACACGGCGCTCAATCTTCTGATTACTCAAGTGGGCAAGTTTGCAGTTGCCTTTTTTCTTCTCTCTCTCTCTCTCTCTTGGCGTGTCTGTCACGGCAGGTGATGGATCTCCGTCTGGCCGCCTTCAGGAAAACGATTATTCTGAAGGAGGAGCAGAGATCAGGTGTCTGTGGGACTTACTCCTGCCGTCTATTAGATCAGGTGTCTGTGGGACTTACTCCTGCCGTCTATTTGCAAATAAGAAAATTTATTTGTATAAATCTACCTTCACATCATGCAACATTTATTTCTTCTTTTGTTTTACTTATAATTTTTTTGCTATATTTTGTCTTCGTCATTTATTTCCTCTTCCTTCTATTCCCTCAAATATTTCTCTTGCTCTTAATCTTTCCTTCTGCATATTTGGCTTTCTAAACACTATCGGTATTCAAAGGGCAGATGTCACTGTCTTCAGTGATGATCCGGAGCCGTTTAGAGGTTTGTCCCAGTGATGTCTCCATGGTACACTTTGTCCCCAGTGATGTTTCTAAGGTGCACTTTATTCCCAGTGATGTCTCCAGGGTGCACTTTGTCCCCAGTGATGTTTCTAAGGTGCACTTTGTTCCCAGTGATGTCTCCAGGGTACACTTTGTCCCCAGTGATGTCTCCAGGGTACACTTTGTTCCCAGTGATGTTTCTAAGGTACACTTTGTTCCCAGTGATGTTTCTAAGGTACACTTTGTTCCCAGTGATGTCTCCATGGTACACTTTGTTCCCAGTGATGTTTCTAAGGTACACTTTGTTCCCAGTGTTGTCTCCATGGTACACTTTGTTCCCAGTGATGTTTCTAAGGTACACTTTGTCCCCAGTGATGACTCCAAGGAACACTTTGTCCCCAGTGATGACTCCAAGGAACACTTTGTCCCCAGTGATGAATCCAGGGTACACTTTGTCCCCAGTGATGACTCCAGGGTACACTTTGTCCCCAGTGATGACTCCAGGGTACACTTTGTCCCCAGTGATGACTCCAAGGAACACTTTGTCCCCAGTGATGACTCCAGGGTACACTTTGTCCCCAGTGATGACTCCAGGGTACACTTTGTCCCCAGTGATGACTCCAGGGTACACTTTGTCCCCAGTGATGACTCCAGGGTACACTTTGTCCCCAGTGATGACTCCAGGGTACACTTTGTCCCCAGTGATGACTCCAGGGTACACTTTGTCCCCAGTGATGTCTCCAAGGAACACTTTGTCCCCAGTGATGTCTCCAGGGAACACTTTGTCCCCAGTGATGACTCTAAGATACACTTTGTCCCCAGTGATGTCTCCAGGGTACACTTTGTCCCCAGTGATGACTCCAAGGAACACTTTGTCCCCAGTGATGTCTCCAGGGAACACTTTGTCCCCAGTGATAACTCCAAGGAACACTTTGTCCCCAGTGATGTCTCCAAGGAACACTTTGTCCCCAGTGATGTCTCCAGGGAACACTTTGTCCCCAGTGATGACTCTAAGATACACTTTGTCCCCAGTGATGACTCCAGGGTACACTTTGTCCCCAGTGATGACTCCAGGGTACACTTTGTCCCCAGTGATGACTCCAGGGTACACTTTGTCCCCAGTGATGACTCCAAGGAACACTTTGTCCCCAGTGATGTCTCCAGGGAACACTGTCCCCAGTCATGTCTCCAGGGAACACTGTCCCCAGTGATGACTCTAAGATACACTTTGTCCCCAGTGATGTCTCCAGGGTACACTTTGTCCCCAGTGATGACTGCAGGGTACACTTTGTCCCCAGTGATGACTCCAAGGAACACTTTGTCCCCAGTGATGTCTCCAGGGTACACTTTGTCCCCAGTGATGACTCCAAGGAACACTGTGTCCCCAGTGATGTCTCCAGGGTACACTTTGTCCCCAGTGATGTCTCCAGGGTACACTTTGTCCCCAGTGATGACTCCAAGGAACACTTTGTCCCCAGTGATGTCTCCAGGGAACACTTTGTCCCCAGTGATGTCTCCAGGGTACACTTTGTCCCCAGTGATGTCTCCAGGGTACACTCTGTGCCAGTGTTAGCAACAGGAGAGAGACAAACAGAACACGAGGAAACAAACAGAGGGTCAAGGAAATAACGGGGCGGAGATATAATCAGTTGCCGCGCTCGAGGGCTGAAACTAGTTGCAATCCATCTTGTCTCCAATTCAGCCCAGCTACTTGCCAGTTGAATTATGCATAGAGAGGCTGTGGGTGGTGGTGGTGGTGACGATTGTGGTTGAGACTGTAGTGGTGGTGGTGGTGAGGATTGTGGTTGAGACAGTAGTGGTGGTGGTGGTGGTGACGATTGTGGTTGAGACAGTAGTGGTGGTCGTGGTGAGGATTGTGGTTGAGACAGTAGTAGTGGTGGTGGTGGTGAGGATTGTGGTTGAGACAGTAGTGGTGGTGGTGGTGGTGACGATTGTGGTTGAGACAGTGGTGGTGGTGACTAGGATGGTTGCGTTGGTGTTTGTGTTTGTAGTGGTGGTGATGGTGATAGTAATGGTGATGATGAAAGCGCTGATAGTGATGGTGAAGGTGTTTCCGTACGTGAAATGCTTTTTTTGCTATGCTAGCGCGCGCACACACACACACACACACACACACACACACACACACACACACACACACACACACACACACATACACACACACACCACAAACAAAACCACCCCGACAACTGACCAGACCCCCCAGCAAGAGGCGCTCACCCCCCCCCCCCCCCCCGAGACAAACACACATGCCTGAGCAGATTTCCTACACCCTCTCAATCGACGCCAAATGAAGCATTAACAAATACAAGATACAACTCAGAAGAGCATCAGCAGGATAACGGAAACCCCTTAACTCAATACTCTTACAATACAGATCAAACACACCTCACCACAAATGAAAGTCAATCCAGTTGACTTCACAAGTGGTTGGAAGACAGAGAGGACTTGAATGTGAGACAGAGACGTCACAATGACTGAGTAACTGTCAGGAGGAGTGTGTTGGACCTGATGGCTGACAAAAGGCAAACTCGTCACTTACTGACAGCTCTGATAGTAGGATGAGGTGTCGCCAATTAGTGACTGGGAATAATATAGACTGGTCTGACTGGTCATTGTCAGGTGGTCGTGGAGAGAGAGAGAGAGAGAGAGAGAGAGAGAGAGAGAGAGAGAGAGAGAGAGCACCTTTCCTAAGACAAGGAGCTTATCTTCACCCCCTGGTGGTTGTGAAGTCATGGATGAAGAATGCGAGATGCATCCAGACACTGGTGTTCTGACCTTAACTACTACTCCCCCCCCCCCCATCGCTAACTATCCCCTGCCTTAACTATCTTCCCTAATTCATCACCGACCCTACCCACTAGCTGTTTCCCTTCGTCTACCAACTGCTTTCCCTCCCGAACCATCTGTCTGGACACCGTTACCTGTTGTGCCCACCAGCTGGCCCACCAGCTGGCCCACCAGCTGCCCCACCACACCGTCTTGGTATTCTCTGCCCGACCTCCAGTATCGTTGTTAAATATGTTGATGATTTTTTACTTCGCAAGCATTAGAGTTTATTCGTCTGTGTGTGTGTGTGTGTGTGTGTGTGTGTGTGTGTGTACTCACCTAATTGTGCTTGCGGGGGTTGAGCTCTGGCTCTTTGGTCCCGCCTCTCAACCGTGTGTGTGTGTGTGTGTGTGTGTGTGTGTGTGTGTGTGTGTGTGTGTGTCTGTGTGGTGTGTGTGTGTGTGTGTGTGTGTGTGTGTGTGTGTGTGTGTGTGTGTGTGTGTGTGTGTGTGTGTGTGTGAGAGTGTGTGTGTGTGTGGTGTGTGTGTGTGTGTGTGTGTGTGTGTGTGTGTGTGTGTGTGTGGTGTGTGTGTGTGTGTGTGTGTGTGTGTGTGTGTGTGTGTGTGTGTGTGTGTGTGTGTGTGTGTGTGTGTGTGTGTGTGTCTGTCTGTCTGTCTTTTCGATTTACGTCTGCAGAATCGAGCAATTAGCTCTTGGACCCCGCCTTTCTAACCAATCTATTTTTCCTCACTTATGTCTACTACATATATTTCTCTCTAACACACACACACACACACACACACACACACACACACACACACACTTCCACAGGAAGCAGCCCATAGCACCAGTCTAACTCACAGGTACCCATTTACTGCTAGGTGAACAGAACCATCAGGATGAAAGAAACTGTGCCCATTTGTTTCCGACTCCGCTGGGAATTGATGCCGATCCAATAGGACTGTGTGTGTGTGAGTGTGTACATCTGCGTCCATAGGAACATTTAATGGGAGCCATTTTTTAAACATATAATAATTTACTTAATTCATTCAACTATGAATATATCCACCCACAATTGTATTCTCTACCAGCTCTTAAAATATGTTAAATCCTTATAGAATTTGAAACAAATTACAGGGGTAGCATAATAGATGTGGGATCGTTGTATTGTTTCAAGCGCAGGTTAGACATATATATGAATGTGTTTCAGTGCATATAAATAGGAGCTGCCTCATATGAGCCAATAGCCCTTCTGTAATTTCCTATATTCCTGTATTGTTGTTGTTAGGTGGCATCCTGGATAATGGTCAAATGCTGCATATATCCCAGATATACTCGAATTTCACACAAACGCCGCGAGGCACAGCACGAGGAAAATAGCCGGAAGGCTGCACATGAAATATGCCGCAAGGCAAAGAACTAGAACCGCAAGGCCCCAGCAACGAGTGAACCGCAAGGCCCCAGCAACGAGTGAACCGCAAGGCCCCAGCAACGAGTGGACCGGAAGGCCCCAGCAACGAGTGGACCGGAAGGCCCCAGCAACGAGTGAACCGCAAGGCCCCAGCAACGAGTGGACCGCAAGGCCCCAGCAACGAGTGGACCGCAAGGCCCCAGCAACGAGTGGACCGCAAGGCCCCAGCAACGAGTGGACCGCAAGGCCCCAGCAACGAGTGGACCGGAAGGCCCCAGCAACGAGTGGACCGCAAGGCCCCAGCAACGAGTGGACCGCAAGGCCCCAGCAACGAGTGAACCGCAAGGCCCCAGCAACGAGTGGACCGGAAGGTCCCAGTCCCAAAAAAAGGGTTCATACCTGAAGTCAAAGAGTGGGATCATCCCAGACAAAGTAGCTACAGAGAGGTGTATTGCACCTCCCTGTGAATACCACCTATACCGTGAAGGTCTACCGCCACCAACTATACAGTGGAAGTTTACTTTGATGCCGGACTATGTTCAGGACTAAAGTATACTTACTGGTTGATCAGTAAGTTCCTGTGGTGGGTTTAATAACCCTTTAGAAGTTGATGATCCAAAGCCCAATACCAAGTCCATCGAAACATGCTTCCAGTACAAACCACTCCCAGTCCCCCCCTGCCCTTGCTCGTCATCATATACGCGCCACCACCGTGAGTGGAGGGGTTTAAGCTACTAGTAGAAATAAGGGACATGATAACGACATGTAAGATTCAAAGGAGTATTGATAAAGTAAATAATGAAGCAGTGTTCAAAGCAAGGCACAAATGAGTCAGAGAGATGTCAGGAAGAACTTTTTAAGTTATAAAGTTGTAAATAAGGGGAAATTGGTTTGTTGAAGAAGTGCCTGTAGCTAATTATTGCTTATGAAATTGCTTATGTAATTATGATTAGAAAAAGTAGAGCTTGAGTCATAGCATTAAACTATAAAATGTTTGAAAGGCGGGACTAGGAACTGGTGCTCGACCCTGCAAGCGAGAACGTCTAGGTGAACTTACCACTTGCTTCTCCCCACCACCTACACACCACCACCTACACACCACCACCTACACACCACAACTGCCTACACACCACCACCTACACACCACCACCTATACACCACAACTGCCTACACACCATCACCTACACACCACAACTGCCTACACACCACCACCTACACACCACAACTGCCTACACACCACCACCTACACACCACAACTGCCTACACACCACCACCTACACACCACAACTGCCTACACACCACCACCTACACACCACCACCACCTACACACCACCACCTACACACCACCACCTACACACCACCACCACCTACACACCAACTCCCACAAGCAGTCGCTACCAACCAAAACCTGCAAACCAACACCTGCTCATTACCACCTACACCTACCCCCACACAACCACCTACACATCACTGTCTAACCCTACCCACCTACCCCCACCCACATCAGCAGTGACCCAACATGGGAGGAGGGCGGACCACGCCATCATCTCCCACTCTGCAAACCAAGAGAGAGAGAGAGAGTCCCAGAAAAAGGGGTTCCACCCAGTTATTACCCTGGGAGGGTAGACCTGTTGCTCTCCCCTAAGGGGAAGGATAATAAAAGTGGGCGACTTTCTTTTTAACATATGATCGTCTCGTAAAGCATTCTGTTATGCCCCGCTTTATTCAGCAGGAGAATATGCCGCGAGGCCCCTTTTCCGTCCTTCTAACCTCTTCCTTTTCTCTCTTCTCGATTCCTTTCCTCTTACCGTTTCTCTGTTGTTAAGACGAGCCTAGCCCCGTTAACGGAACAAGAGACACACACAAACGCAGCATTGCAACTATGCACGAGACTCCAGAATACAAAAAGATGCAATTAATTCAATTAGCAACAATTTGGTCAAGAGGAACAGATTTGTGTTCGGGTGTATGTTATTAGCGTGAAGCGGGGTACCTACGTCACGGAGGTCTTTGTAGTCACGAATGGAGTCGCCGTTAGTAACCTTCAAAAAAGCCGTTAGTGATTGTTAAAACCGTTAGTGATCGTTGAAACCGTTAGTGATCGTTGAAACCGTTAGTGATCGTTGAAACCGTTAGTGATCGTTGAAACCGTTAGTGATCGTTGAAACCGTTAGTGATCGTTGAAACCGTTAGTGATCGTTGAAACCGTTAGTGATCGTTGAAACCGTTAGTGATCGTTGAAACCGTTAGTGATCGTTGAAACCGTTAGTGATCGTTGAAACCGTTAGTGATCGTTGAAACCGTTAGTGATCGTTGAAACCGTTAGTGATCGTTGAAACCGTTAGTGATCGTTGAAACCGTTAGTGATCGTTAAACTCGTTAGTCCTGAATGCATGCAGAAAATGAAAGTATTCAAAACGTAAATACTATACATTGTAGGAGAAATCCCATTACTCTGCAGAAGTCGGCCCTCCTGTGTAGCTTCCAACTTGAGAGGGAGGAAGGTAGATGTTCCTTTACATTTCGGTGTGACTGTGAGTAGATTAGGAAGCCAAGAGCCTGGGTAGGACAAGAAGCGGTATTCTGTCGGGTATTTAGCAAGGTGTTCCTCCTCCTCCTTAGTTCATGGTTGGAACAAAGAGCGAGGATATTAGCTCACCAGCACGGGTGTGGAGGAGGTAAGGGGAGCTGGAGGAGGGAGGGAGCCGGAGGAAAGGATGGTCGGAGTTCGGGTTGGGGAGCGTGATGTGAGAACCAGATTAATGGTACGATAAATATGGTTTGACCATTTTGTGCACGTAAATTGTTTCGTTTTTCACGTGGGGATTTAACGCGTGTTCAGCTCAGAACGTAACCAGCTTAGCAATGTCGCAACGTCACGCTTCATTGCCATCTGCCTGATCAACCAGACTACGGTTGCATGTCGCCTGCGAACTGCAACCACTATGAACTGGCACCAAAATCAATTCGTAACATTTTCTTTGCAATATGAAAAAAATTATACCACAAGAGAAAGCATATTATAAAATAGCTTTACGACGAAATACTTCCTATACACCTGACGCTTTGTAAATATTACGTTCATTTAAGAATAATGACCTAGGAAGGATTTAGAATTGAGTGATTGCTGAGGGCTGAGACGTTAATAACAATTGCACTGAGGGTAGAATAGAACCAGTGAAGAGCAGAGGTGCCATAGGCACAATCAGAGAACACTGTATAAACATCAGAGGTCCGCGGTTGTTCAACGTCCTCCCAGCAGGCATAAGAAATATTGCCGGAACAACCGTGGACATTTTCAAGAGGAAACTAGATTTATTCCTCCAAGGAGTGCCGGACCAACCGGGCTGTGGTGGGTATGTGGGCCTGCGGGCCGCTCCAAGCAACAGCCTAGTGGACCAAACTCAAACAAGTCAAGCCTGGCCTCGGGCCGGGCTTGGGGAGTAGAAGAACTCCCAGAACCCCATCAACCAGGGTCGGAGAACCAGTAGCAGTTTTAAGCATTTGATACCAGAAGACGCGTGAGTTTAGCGTGAGGTGAGAGAGGAAGCTACAACTGGTAAATAACTGGTCTTGAGGAGTTGGATGAGGCCACCAGGGCCAGTCATAAAAATATTTGAAATGACGGTCATCACTTGCAATTTGCTTTATAAACGTGGTGATAGGCGCTTATTAGTAACGTGCATTGAAAGCCAAAACTAATCTCCAGCCAGATGGAGAATTAACGTAATATTTGTCATTACAACCCGACTAATACATTATTATTTTAACTTAACAAGGACGGCAAGGAAGATGAAAGTGGAAGGAATTCAACTGATGGCGACACAGCAGTAAGAGCCATATTCTGCAAATCACAGACATCCTATTAGAGAAAAGCATTGTGATCCACGAAGTTACTGTGTTACGAATAAAGAAAATCACAATAAGGACGAAAGTCACAGGTTCTCTAGACGAGGATAAGCAGATGTTACAAACGTGATTTCGGAGGCTTGGTTATGGAAACAGGATTAGCTGTATATATAGACCTGTAAACGACACCAATAAGACTGTCACAAGCAGGTAGGAAGAGGGATAACCACGACCAGCTAAGTTAATCAGGAGTGCCTTTAACGACCAAGTAACGGAACAAGGAGTGACCTCAACAGTCAGGGACTCGACGCAGCTTCTCACGAACCTGTGTTGCCATTTTAGGGTAGTGGAAGGAGGGGTGAAGTGTTTGAAGGAAGGGATCATTATATCTCTTTCCACTCACTATCTCTCTCTCTCTCTCTCTCTCTCTCTCTCTCTCTCTCTCTCTCTCTCTCTCTCTCTCTCTCTCTCTCTCTCTCTCTCTCTTTATTTTATTATGGTAGGAGAAAAAATGTACAGATGACTCTCGACAAGAATTCCTTTCTACAATATAAATCTTTAGAGTTTTTTTCCCTAAGGTGATAACGCTCAGGATAAACCGGTCCTCTCTTGTCTTCACCCAGGCTCTCACTCTCCCTGGCTCTCACTCTCCCTGGCTCTCACTCTCGCTGGCTCTCACTCTCCCTGGCTCTCACTCTCACTGGCTCTCACTCTCCTTAGGTCTCACTCTGCCTGGTTCTCTCTCTGTCTGGATCTCTCTCATTCCCTGTCTCTCACTCTGGTTTTCAATCTTCCTGGTTATTAGTCTCCAACATCTCTTACTCTCACTTTTCATTTTCTCTGTATTATCTTTCTTCCCTACTTTCTTCCAGATATTTTCCTCTTCTCTCCTACACTCTCTTCTTCATATTTCTATACCCTGTTGTCGAGCACACACACACACACTCTCTCTCTCTCTCTCTCTCTCTCGGGCCGGATCGCTTCGGTGGTCAAAGATGAAGCCCCGATGACCAATAACAACGTTCCAAAATCACAACTTGAGTTACTCTGAATGTGTAACAACCACTAAACTAGAATGACTTAGTATCGGGCTAAATCACTTACTGTTGAAGTTTCTGCTGGCTGCCGCCTGGAGCTGAGTGAGATCACTACTTGCCTCGCGAGAAGGGCATTGAAATCACCCATAATGATTTCTCCTTTTTTATCAGGATGAGATGATTACCTAAAATCTTGAGTACATCGAATACCAGAAGTTATGAAAAGAAGTTTTTGAATTTGAATTAGTTGCTCCAAAGGCACTTTTTGTTATTTACGCTGAATTGACAGTGCTGATGCCACAGCTTCCAAAGGAAAGGTGCTGTGTTTTCCGTCCCGTAAATTTGCCAGTATTTTCTGGAATTCCAAGGCAACTGGAACGAAGGTGCGGGTATATATATATCCCGATTACTCAAGGTAACAGGAGTAACCCACAAGCAACTGTCCATATGTATCCTGGTAACACAGGGCAACAGCAGTAACGCTGCCTTTGTAACCCAGTGATCCAAACTAACGTAAACATCGCTGTTTGTGTACCTTGGAAACTAAGTACAATGTGAACAACGTTGTTAAGCTGGTAACACAAGGTAACTGGTGGATGAAGGAGTGTGCTAAATGGTCTACAGCTATGGTACACTCACACTATACCTGTGTGTACCAATTGTGTAGTCTGTCTGTCTGTCTCTCTCTGTCTCTCTCTATCAATGAATTATCTGAAATACACGGTACCACACTGGATTCATTACAATACTCGTTACTACCCTACTATGGCATTGTGGATTTTCGAGAAATATTTCCAGTATATCCTGTAAGATAATCATTTTGATTTTGAAAACCAGGAGAGCGAGTGTTATTTAGTGAATTTAAATTTCGCTAAATAACTAAGTGAATTTTCGCTAAGTTATTTAGTGAATTTAAATTCATTATGTTTGTCCCTCGCTGTTCCGCAATTAATCGCCAAGATGAGAAAATAATCAGGTATTTGGATTCATATTCAGCTCGCCAAGAGGTCCAATCTTAATTAAGTCTTATGTACCTAATGGGTTATCATAAATTATTGTTTATTGCTGATATTAAAGAAGCCAGGAACGTCCACCGGTATTCGAGTAACGATAATTATTGTTAATTGCAGAGGCGTTTAAGGTATCATGCAAGATTACAAAAAGATTTATTCGATTAGATGGAAAAGAGCAGCTTAGTACCATTTAACACAGTGAGAGCTGAGTGAGGAGGAGTGGTGTTGGCGTTAATGAGAGCAGCTGTGATTACTTTCTTGTCTACTGTATTGTTATTGTGATAATCTCTACTCCAAAATGTAATTACCTGGAGAAACCACTAAGCTATTACGAATACATAACACTTGGAGAGGATCTGAGGATGGGGATTTAGGATAGGACGGAGGGAAGGAATGGTACCCCCAACCACTTTGACGGTCTGGGATTGAAAGCCGACCTGCAGGAAGCGAGACCGTCGCTCCACCGTCCAGTTCAAGTGGACGAAAGCTCAAGGATGGTAGGAGCGTAAGAGCAGTCCTTGACCCGGGAACCACAACAACCCGTTATAAGTTAATCTAATGAAGACGAGTTCTGCAGCAGCAGCCTGCGACGGATCTGAGCCGGCAACAACATCACTTGCAGAAAATATATGTACAGTTATAAAGATGGTTCCTTATTCCTTTATAATTGGGAGCGAGAGGACGTTAAGACTCCTCTGAGAGGCTGTTCGTCAGTGTGAAGTTGTAAGGATGTCATCGTGGTTTAGTCTTGTGCGACTTGTGTCTGTCTGTCTGTCTGTCTGTCTGTCTGTCTGTCTGTCTGTCTGTCTGTCTGTCTGTCTGTCTGTCTCTCTCTCTCTCTCTCTCTCTGTCTGTCTCTCTCTTTCTCTGTAAACTCCATTATGTTCCATCAATAATAACCATGAACTTGTCTCCCGCTCCGGCAGATGTCGGGAGGATCATGGTTGACGGTGGTGGCGGTGTTGGTGGTGACGGTGACCACAGTCTACGCGGCGATACCTGGACCATATGGTAAGTAAACTCACCACTGTAAACTCTCCGCCACTGTCCTCCTCATGCCTATACACTCATACCATAGTGCTTCACCTCCTGGTACACATCACACACAGAGATCACACTAACGTGATGCATCAAATGAACAAATCCACAAGGGCCGTGACGAGGATTCGAACCTGCGTCCGGGAGCATCCCAGACACTGCCTTAATCAAAGAAAAAGCCTTGTTTGTGCCTCGGAGAGGCTACGGGATCCAGTAAGTTCAGTAGAACTTCGGTTTCAACCCTTTTACCCTATCGTAGCTCAGTCGATTAAGGCAGTGTCTGGGATGCTCCCGGACGCAGGTTCGAATCCTCGTCACGGCCCTTGTGGCTTTGTTCCTGGTACACATGTATACTCGCACCCTAGTATATGACGCTCTGGTTTCGATTAAGTATTTAGGTTTGGCTATACGCTCTAGAGTCCTCAACACGTTATTGCCTGGACTTGTACACCATGTTGACAACACACCCTTGGCATGTACACCCTTTTTCAAAATCTCTTCACAACATACGTCAGATTAGGTCTGGAATATGCAGCCTTCCCTTTGTACAGCATATAATGTCATTGGAGAGAGTTAAGATTGACTCGTACCTGAAATGAGAGGTACGAGTTGTGATAATAAGCTCAAGGAACTGAGCCATAAGTCACTGAAGACGAGAAACATCAGAGGAGTCATGATTACAACATACACAGTACTCAGCGAAATATACATCGTGAAAAGAGACTGTTTGAAGTGTTGAGGGATGCGATTTATGTGGAGACGGTTCAACTGACTCATCTTAAAGAACCAGACTGAGGTTAAGGAGAACTTATTTAGCGTTAGAGCAGTGAAATGAATTGAAGCAAGAAGTGAAGAGACGCAGAGAGAGAGACTTAGATACAAATATATACATACAGGCTCACAAACATTATAAACATTTCAAGCACACACACACACATGCACACACACACACACACACACACACACACACACACACACACACACACACACACACACACACACACACATGTACACACACACACACGCACACACACACACACACACATTCATGCATGCATCCCTGAAGGCTGCCACTCCACAAGAATGAAGAAGCAATTGAGATTCACAAGATGCTCCCTAAGACAACACATCATATATCGTATACATAAATACATTTTGACTCTCAGAGCTGACAAGTAATGACGATAAAAAAAAACAGGTGAATTATCTAGACACTTGAGGGATCCTGGTATGGACATGAATGATCAACACTGATAAAGTTTAAAGGTCAGAGCTCACTTGGAAGGGAAACAAGAGACCTGGGTAGGGCAATGACCCTTAGGTAAGGGTTATGAGTATCCGCCTGCTTGCCTATCTGCCTCTGATGCGGGTGAGAACTAGTTCTTTGCCTCGCTCTTATTTGCTTTTTCATCTCAGGGTGTTTTATATATCTTGAAGTTATAGTTTTTATTTATTTGAGGTGTGTGTGTGTGTGTGTGTGTGTGTGTGTGTGTGTGTGTGTGTGTGTGTGTGTGTGTGTGTGTGTGTGTGTGTGTGTGTGTGTACTAATCTAGTTGTGCTTGCGGAGGTTGAGCTCTGGTCTTTGGTCCCGCCTCTCAACTGTCAATCAATCAACTGATTTTTCACACACACACACACACACACACACACACACACACACACACACACACACACACACACACACACACACGCAAACTCAACTATTTCATTTCAACTACGAGGAAGGCGTCTTGAACTCAATCTTACAAGAATGAAAAGACTCTTGACAAGATGAAAGCTGATCACGACCTACATATTACTCCGGAGGGCAAACAGGATGGCTTGGAACAGATTGTTTAAATTGGGAGAAATCAGGACTAGGAATGAGAGGATTAACCCGAACCAGAAAACATGGATGGAAAAAAGACTTAAAGGGAGAAAGACTTATCAACAAGCATAACTCCAACATCAGAAACGCCCATCAGCAGAAATACGTAAGCAGCTTAAGTCCAACTGACCAATAACCAATTCAGGACTAGTTCAGGAACTTGTTCCAAGGCGCCTTCTGAAGGCTATATACAACCAAGTAAGATCCATGTATGAGTATGCTGCCCTGGCATGGAACACCTACACCATGTAAGATCCATGTATGAGTATGCTGCCCTGGCATGGAACACCTACACCATGTAAGATCCATGTATGAGTATGCTGCCCTGGCATGGAACACCTACAAATACGTACAAAAGAAAATTAAGAAAAAGTCCAACGAAAGTCCAACGACATTCCTTTACAAGTTCCGTTAATAGCTCAGTCCCTTGAGAACAGTAAGAAAGATTGAGGGAACATGACCGCACCGTACTGGAGAATATAAGCAACAAGTGAGACATGATGACAACATCCGAGATTCGACGTGGTAGTTGACCAAGAAGAAAGAAAAGCAATGTTCAAATTATCAACAGTTAAACGAGATACCATAAATGGGACCTGGAGATACAATTTTTTTTTTTTTTTTTTGAGATATATACAAGAGTTGTTACATTCTTGTACAGCCACTAGTACGCGTAGCGTTTCGGGCAAGTCCTTAATCCTATGGTCCCTGGAATACGATCCCCTGCCGCGAAGAATCGTTAAATTACCCACAGAGCTATCAGAAAAACCTTCTTCAGCGAAAGAGTCGTAATTGGAATGGCTTACTTGAAGAGGTTATCGATGCTAACTAAATACACCGCTTTAAGTGTAAATATAAGAAGGTAAATTTGTAAATAGAGTCACTGCTAACCCCCTACAAGCACATTGGGGTATATATATCAAGACGAGTACACTCACTCAGCCGACGTAAGCCCACATAATTTCAGAGGAAGGCTGCCAAATACCCGCCCCCAAGATCCTAACTGGTAGTTACTCTTGGATCATGTGAGGGAAGCTTCCGGTCGAGGTCAAGGGTGAGAGATGGTTATGGGGGGCTGCCATGTTATCACTGATCCAGCTAGTGTGAAAACCATTATAGTGCAGCTTTGACTAGTTCCTCTTCCTGGTGTGAGAACAATGACCTCTTGAAGTAAATGCATTTGTTTCGTGGTAATATTTGTAATAGTTATGTCTTAGTAGCACAATAATAGCAGAAATAATATTTGTAATAGTATTGGAACATGAGAGGAAGCAGCTGAAGGCCTATAGACCTATGATAGACCACCGCTATTACTTAACCCAACAAACGCACTCACATAATCACCCACGCCATTAATTACCCCCAGCGACCCCTATAGTGAATGTTAACTCACTCAGCAACTTCATACATCCATAACTAATTCTCAGACCAGAACGTAACTCATTCTTCTCTGCAACTAATCTTTTCCACGTTGTATTCATTGTTTTGTAACCTGTTGTGTGATCACTTATTTAGACCTCAATTAATATTCTCCTTCGTATGACTTGTCACACTTCAATTACTCGCTCATTGGCGTCCTTACACTTCGCTTTTAAAGTGAATGAACAGCAGCAGTAGTAGTAGACGTAGTAGTAGAAGTAGTAGAAGTAGTAGTAGTAGTAGTAGTAGTAGTAGTAGTAGTAGTAGTAGTAGTAGTAGTAGTAGTAGTAGTAGTAACAGTAGTACCAGTAATTGTGATTCAAATAATGATAAGATCAGTGATAATTGGTAACGTAAGGTCCTGGGAGAGTGTCAGAAGGCCTGGGAGAGTGTCAGGGACCTGGGAGAGTGTCAGGGGGGCCTGGGAGAGTGTCAGGGGGGCCTGGAAGAGTGTCAGGGGGGCCTGGGAGAGTGTCAGGGGCCTGGGAGAGTGTCAGGGACCTGGGAGAGTGTCAGGGACCTGGGAGTGTGTCAGGGGACCTGGGAGAGTGTCAGGGGACCTGGGAGAGTGTCAGGGGGGCCTGGGAGAGTGTCAGGGGGCCTGGGAGAGTGTCAGGGGACCTGGGAGTGTGTCAGGGGGGCCTGGGAGAGTGTCAGGGGACCTGGGAGAGTGTCAGAGGGGCCTGGGAGAGTGTCAGGGGGGCCTGGAAGAGTGTCAGGGGACCTGGGAGAGTGTCAGGGGGGCCTGGGAGAGTGTCAGGGGACCTGGGAGAGTGTCAGGGGGGCCTGGGAGAGTGTCAGTGGGGCCTGGGAGAGTGTCAGGGGACCTGCGAGAGTGTCAGGGGGGCCTGGGAGAGTGTCAGGGGAGCCTGGGAGAGTGTCAGGAACCTGGGAGAGTGTCAGGGACCTGTGAGAGTGTCAGAAGGCCTGGGAGAGTGTCAGAAGGCCTGGGAGAGTGTCAGGGGCCTGGGAGAGTGTCAGGGACCTGGGAGAGTGTCAGGAGAACCTGGGAGAGTGTCAGGGACCTGGGAGAGTGTCAGGGACCTGGGAGAGTGTCAGGGGGGCCTGGAAGAGTGTCAGGGACCTGGGAGAGTGTCAGGAGAACCTAGGAGAGTGTCAGGGACGCCTGGGAGAGTGTCAGGGGCCTGGGAGAGTGTCAGGGGGGGGGGGCCTGGACGCCACAAGCACCCACGTTAAGCTTCTTCTCCCACAGACCGTCGCTATCCCGACTACATCGTGGACCCGAGAGTCTCGTGTGAGAAGGAGGGCAGCTTCCCACACCCGAGGAACTGCAGCTGGTACTACAGGTGGGTACTGACGGGAGCTGGTAGTGGTAGTGGTTGTGGTAGTGGTGGTAGTGGTGGTGGTGAGGAGGATGGTAGTTGTTGGTGGTGACTGTGGCGGTGGTGTGCTTGGACGGGCTATAGGTTTTCACTCCTTTGACAGACAAGTTTACCCCTCACGGTGATCTGTCTTACAGCTGTCACGGCGACGCTCGGTAGAGGGAGGGAGGGAGACTGAGGAGGCTGGGAGGGATTGGTGAAAGAGAGTCCAGGAGAGAGGTAGGAGAGGTGGGGGGGGGGGGGGAGTGCACGAAAGGCTAGTTGGCGGACGTCTGGGCTCGGGTCAGACCAAGAATGCAGGTGGCCCTGTAAACTGCAGGATTCGTGTGGCAAGACTCTATTTATATGCAACTTGACCCGTGGGGGGCCTGAGACCTGAATGTTGAGTGACAGAGAGAGAGAGAGAGAGAGAGAGAGAGAGAGAGAGAGAGAGAGAGAGAGAGAGAGAGAGAGAGAGAGAGAGAGAGAGAGAGAGAGAGAGAGAGAGAGAGAGAGAGTGTGTGTGTGTGTTTACTAGTTGTGTTTTTGCGGGGGTTGAGCTTTGCTCTTTCGGCCCGCCTCTCAACTGTCAATCAACTGTTTACTAACTACTTTTTTTTTTTTTTTTTTTTCCACACCACACACACACACCCCAGGAAGCAGCCCGTGACAGCTGACTAACTCCCAGGTACCTATTTACTGCTAGGTAACAGGGGCACTTAGGGTGAAAGAAACTTTGCCCATTTGTTTCTGCCTCGTGCGGGAATCGAACCCGCGCCACAGAATTACGAGTCCTGCGCGCTATCCACCAGGCTACGAGGCGTGTGTGTGTGTGATTCCATCTGGGCCTATAGCCTTTGTCACATCCAACTCTAGTAAACACTTCCTTACTTCCCCGCAAGTAATCTCAAACTCTTCCAATGGTTCCTGGTTAGCTATTCCCTCTCTTATCTCTGGGATTTCTCCTTGCTCTAAGGTGAACACCTGTGTGTGTGTGTGTGTGTGTGTGTGTGTGTGTGTGTGTGTGTGTGTGTGTGTGTGTGTGTGTGTGTGTGTGTGTGTGTGTGTGTGTGTGAGTTAGAGTCCTTGGGTTCGATTCCCCCGGCGGATGGAGACGTTTGGGGAAGTTTCTGTATTACTAATTCCTCTGTGCTCCTCGTAGTAAATGGACTTAAGGAGTTGTATTCTGGGGAACAGTTGGTGGTTCAGGGGAAGACTTCCAGAGCTGAGTGTGTTCAGGAACCCGTCCTCTAGTCACATGAACATTAAGAGACGGGAACCAAGAGCTAGAGCTCATGCCATGCAGGCACATCAAGGCAAAGACAGATAGGCACACACACAACCGGTTTACGACTGAGAAGTACGACCCATAAATGTCCAGAACCATTTATTTATCTTAAGTATATTGAGCAAGTGGACTGAAGTGGACTGAGTCCACTTCATAAGTATATTGAGCAAGTGGACTGAACAAGAGGAGGATGTAACCTAATACTATACATTGGTTTACATGGGACAGAAATTTAGTGGGTGGAGAAGCACTGCATTCGACGACCGAG